ATACGAGCTCCTTAAACACACTGTCGAACGCATACAACCTCTTCGCTTCCTTGATCAAGCCTACCAAGAGCTCAGAGGCTAAAGCTCCAGCAGCAGCACCCACAACTATTTCAACTTCCTTCTTCATCCTCCTTCTTCTTTTAGGATAAGCTCTCACCCACTACACAACAGAGAGAGAGATCACAATCTTCACTAATTTAAAAGCCAACACTTTTACTTTCTCTCATCTCCTCCGCAATTTCCGGGAAGCTTTTTCGTTTTTGGGAGTTTCTACGTAATCGCTAAAGATTCTTTAAAGGGACCCCCTTCTTCGCGCGTGCCAACTTTATGTCTTTCTCTCTTCTTCTCACCATAATTTAAAGTGTTTTCTTTTCTGGCCGCCTCTTATATTTTAAAAGATCGTAATGTATATCTTTTTTCTTTTTAAATATACATTTGGATTAAATGAGATTTACTAGTGATTAAAATGAGCATTTGTGAGTTTAAAATTTCTGACTTTAAATTTGATAACTGAAGATTATTTTGACGATTCTTAGTTTTATTAATATTTTTAAAAAAATATACATTTAGATAGATGATAATAATAATATTACTGAATTAATCTGCCCAAAGCTATAATAATTAACACTATTCACAACTTAAAACATTTGAAGCAAGTTGAGATTATGCTCTGTTTCCTCCTCATGAACTGTCAAGTTTGTCATTTTTTTCATCAACCTTTCCCACAAGACCAACCTAGTTTCTTCCTCACATTTCACCTCCAAATCCTCTAGATCCTTCACTGAATCTGGTAGTTCGCACCTCCAACACTTCCTCATCGAGATCTTCTTCAGCTTTTGCAGCTTCCCAATCTCTAAAGGCAACTTTCTCAATCCCAAGCAATGAGATATATCTAGAAACCGCAAGTTGCTGAGTCTATCAACCGTTTCAGGCAGCTCAGAGAGATTAATGCAAGAATTCACCCTCAACACTTCTAGTTTGCTCAAGTTGCCTATATCTTCTGGAAGTAGAGAGAACCTGTAACAGTTTGTGATGCTAAGTGTCTTCAGTGAAGCAACTTCACAGACCCAATACGGTAACTCATCAAGACCATAGCAATAGTCTATGTCAATCTCCTGTAAACTAGGCAGAGCTTTAGAGACATCTATTTCTTCAACATTGCCGAACACTTCACCAAAACTACACATGAACAAAGAGAACTTCTTGAGACTGCCGAGTTGCAACTGGACAATGTCCAGCAACGTGACTGAAACTTTCTCCAATCTGATTCGTTTCAGGTTAGGTAACGAGCTGAGACATGACAATTTGGTCAGTCTTGCAGAAACAGGACCGTGATTTATGATAATCAAAACCTTGAGTTTCTTCATTGTAGCAATGAAGCTTGGTAATGCATAGCTTGATGAAGATATGTTAAGAAGTAAAGCCTCAACATTAGGGAACTGGAATAAATCCATTTCCACCCAACTCGATGAGAACAAATCATCTGTAAAAATACAAAAAAAAAAAAGAGCTCATTGTACAAACACTGAATATAATCTCTACATTCCTTTGGACCTGAAAGGATTACCTGTAGAGATAGACAAGAAGCGGGCATTAATACTAGGCTCCCTTAGATTCAAACACCAGTCTGGATATTTATTTCCTCTTATTACCAAGCTAAGTCTTTTTCTTTCGAGGACTGGTTCCAATTCGCTTTGATGGATAGCCAGCTCCCTCAGGACATCATGTTGAGTGACTAACAACTCATTGTAGAAACCATCTTCGAGCTTATTCCCCCTAGTAAAAGTAAATAAAGAAAAGATCATCAAAATGGTGGATGGCAAAGACACACAATGTCGAGGTATAATAACAACATACCCGAGAGTAATAAGTTTAAGCAGGTTCTGGGAAGCAAGGTCATTGAGGTACTTGATGTACACGTAACTACTACTACCGTATAGTTCCACCCATATGTCAAGTAATACGGAACCGCTAATCTTTTGGTCCTCAAGAAATGAGCCCATGTCCATGAAACACTCTTTAAGATTAGGTTCAAGGGCAATGAAGCTGGGCTGCAGACATTCTAGCACAGTAGGAGAATTACTAAGAATTGTTTTCCCTTGAGACCAGATTTCTACTTGTCCTTCCCATGAAGATAAGGGTTGTCGTTTGAGTGAACCCCCCAATACGTCAATCACGATTGGGAATCCATTGCAACGTTCCAATATCTGCAATACAATCAATCCTCCACCGTTTGATCAAGAAGATAAAAAGAGGAATCTAAACTTGTTAGTAGAAAAATCTGTTCAACAATACCTTTTGGAAAAGACGTTCATAATCATATGGAGATGTGTGATAAGTAGGAGGCGATGCGCACTGAATGAGAAGGGACTTGGCATCTTCATACATCAAAGTCTCCAAAGGATGAGTGAAATCAAAACTGGGTAAGTTAAAGCGAGAGGTGACAAGAATCTTATAACCAGGCAACTGAATCCGAAATTCATCAAGCAAGGCATCTGCTCCTTGCCACACATCATCCAACACCATCAATACAGGACCTTCTTTTATGAGGTCCTCAAGCAGAGTTGTTAAGCCAACAGTTGCTTGAGAATTGTTCTCAAGTTTAAGTGGCTGCTGGTAACCATTGTCCAGGAGTAAATGCTGTACTATGACCCTAAAGTCAGGACTACTTGAGACAACATTAAAGAAGATATGCTTGAAATGCCCTGCCAAAAAAATGGATGATTAGAAACAAGAAGTACAAGTCAAAATTAGAAGAAGAAGACTTAAACAACCTTTGATCTCTTCATCGTGGCAAAGATGAGTAACAAGAGTGGTCTTGCCGCATCCGCCAGGAGCAGACACGAGAAGACTCTCAACAGAATCACAAAGAAGCTTATTCTNCGTGGCAAAGATGAGTAACAAGAGTGGTCTTGCCGCATCCGCCAGGAGCAGACACGAGAAGACTCTCAACAGAATCACAAAGAAGCTTATTCTTTAGTCTCCTCAACGGCCAATCCAATCCAACGGCAACCTTCCTCGGCTTGGATACTGAACAATATTTCCGAAAAACAGGCGCGGGACGGACCCTTTCACTGATAATTTGGATACGTTTCTGAATATCTTCAAGAGTAACCCTATCCTGGCTTTGATTCCTAAGCAGAATAAGAGGAACTTGAACCTGACAGAAACTGAGCATCTTCCCATTGATTCTGTCAATTTCTCTGCTAAGATATGGCCGTTTGAAGTATACAATCAACTGATCGACGGCGTCGCCTGAACACCCTTGAACCAGTTCATGAGCTTCGTTGATTGTATCATTGAGAGTCTTTAGTTCGTCATCCTTGTCTTGCAACGATTCGATCTGCCTGATTATCGGGAGCACTTCCTCCATCGTTGACACGAGCTCCTTAAACACACTGTCGAACGCATACAACCTCTTCGCTTCCTTGATCAAGCCTACCAAGAGCTCAGAGGCTAAAGCTCCAGCAGCAGCACCCACAACTATTTCAACTTCCTTCTTCATCCTCCTTCTTCTTTTAGGATAAGCTCTCACCCGCTACACAACAGAGAGAGAGATCATCACAATCTTCACTAATTTAAAAGCCAACACTTTTACTTTCTCTCATCTCCTCCGCAATTTCCGGGAAACTTTTACGTTTTTGGGAGTTTCTACGTAATCGCTAAAGATTCTTTAAAGGGACCCCCTTCTTCGCGCGTGCCAACTTTATGTCTTTTTCTCTTCCTCTCACCATAATTTAAAGTGTTTTCTTTTCTGGCCGCCTCTTATATTTAAAAAGATCGTAATGTATGGCTTTATTAATATTTTTATTTTCTTTTTAAATATACATCTAACCTATTAAAGGGGAAGTACAAATAGTATATACCCTTTAGTTTTCCACAAAAATTACAACTTTATGTCACTGAAGTTAAAACATAGTAGTTTTGATTAATGTCTAATTATTATTTTGTTGGGCTGCTGTAAGTTTGTTTTTGCCAGCCCATAAAGAAGAATTTCGATGGCCTGTTAAATAATATAATTATAGAAAATGCATAGTTTATATGTATTACATGTATACTTATAGATATTAGTATTCAAATACAATAAAAATCAAGTTTAAAAACATGATAAAGTTTTAAAATTCATTTTCTTTATTTTTAGATTTCATATAAAAATATATAATAGATGATTTAAATCATTTTTGTAATAATTGGAGTTACAACATACAATTCAATATATAATAACATTAAAATTAATAAGTGTTTAAATATAATGTAAATTTTAAATTAAAAAAAAAGTTAAATTGACTAAAATATTGGTTACCTATCTGTTCAAACAGTAGCTTCGACTTTTAACACTTATACAATAAAAGAAATATATAACAGTTCACAAATATATATATATATATATATAATAACACAATATAAAAACATGAAAGTAATTTATCTATGAATTATAAACTAGAATCTAACAAATGAACCCATTATATGAAATTGTTATATAAAATCATTAAGTTTTTGTGTGTTTTAAATGTTTATATAATTATAAAATAAAATAAAAATCAAAATACAATAACACTAAAATTAATAAGTGTTTAAATATAATATAAAATTGAAATTAAGTTTTCAATTAAAAAATCAGATTGACTTACATATTGGATATCCGTCTTTTCAAACGGTAGCTTCAACTTTTAAAACTCATACAATAAGAAAAATATATAACAACTCACAAATATATATATATATATATATATATATATATATATATATATATAACAGAATACAGAAACATGAAAGTAATTTATGCTATGAATTATAAACTAAAATCTAACAAATGAACCTATTATATGAATCTATTATATAAAAGGATTAAGTTTTTGTGTGTTTTAAATGTTTATGTAATTATAAAAAAAACATCCGTGCGGGCGTGCGGATCAAGATCTAGTTTAGATTAAAATGAGATTTATTAGTGATTAAAATGAGCGTTTGTGAGTTTAAAATTTCTGACTTTAAATTTGATAATTGAAGATTGTTTTGACGATTCTTAGTTTTATTAATATTTTTTTAAAAATATACATTTAGATAGATGATAATAATAATATTACTGAATAAATCTGCCCAAAGCTATAATAATTAACACTATTCACAACTTAAAACATTTGAAGCAAGTTGAGATTATGCTCTGTTTCCTCCTCATGAACTGTCAAGTTTGTCATTTTTTTCATCAACCTTTCCCACAAGACCAACCTAGTTTCTTCCTCACATTTCACCTCCAAATCCTCTAGATCCCTCACTGAATCTGGCAGTTCGCACCTCCAACACTTTCTCATTGAGATCTTCTTCAGCTTCTGTAACTTCCCAATCTCTAGAGGCAACTTTCTCAATCCCAAGCAATGAGATATATCTAGAAACCGCAAGTTGCTGAGTCTATCAACCGTTTCAGGCAGCTCAGAGAGATTAATGCAAGAACTCACCCTCAACACTTCTAACTTACTCAAGTTGCCTATAGCTTTTGGAAGTAGAGAGATCTTGTTACAGTTTGTGATGCTAAGTGTCTTCAATGAAACAACTTCACACACCCAATAAGGTAACTCATCAAGATCATAGCAATAGTCTATGTCAATCTCCTGTAAACTAGGAAGGGCTTTAGAGACATCTATATCTTCAGAGTCATAGAAAACATCACCAAAACTACACATAACCAAAGACAACTTCTTGAGGCTGACCAGTTGTAACTGGACAATGTCTAGCAACGTGACTGAAACTTTCTCCAGTCTGATCCGTTTCAGGTTAGGTAACGAGCTGAGACAGGAGAAGTTAGTCAATCTTGCTGGATAGAAACCATGATTTGTTATTGTCAGAACCTTTAGCTTCCTCATTCCAGCAATGAAGCTTGGTAATGCATAATCTGATGAAGAGAGAATAAGAACTAAAGCCTCCACATTGGGACAATCTATTTCAACCCAGTTTGATGAGAACAAATCATCTGTAACAGCAAAAAGAAGAAAAAAGACCAAACATAGTTTTAGTAAGGTCAGAGATTTGTATAATCACTAAGTTTATCAGTTACTTACCTGTGGAGATAGACAACAGAGAAGCATTAACAACAGGTCCATTCAAAGACCAGTCTGGAAATGTATCATCTCTTATCTCCATATTTAGTCTTTTCCTTTCCAAGATTGGTTCCAATTCGCTTTGACGGATAGCCAACTCCCTAAGGATATCATGTTGAGTGACTAAGAACTCATTGTAGAAACCATCCTCAGTCTCACTTCTACTCATAAACCAAGAAAAAATAAGTTACTCTAGTGGTATTAGATGTCAAGAAAGTTTGAAACAGAAACAACATACCCAAGAAGAACAAGTTTAAGTAGATTCTGAGAGGCAAGGTCTTCAAGGTACGTCATGCACAAGATACTACTACTTTTACCATATAGTTCCATCCACATGTCAATGATTACAGAAGCACGTATCTTTTGGTCTTCAAGAAATGAACCCATGTCCAAGAAACACTCTTTGAGATTAGGTACCAGTGCATCAAAGCTAGGCTCCAGACATTCCAACACAGTAGGCTGAGAAGGACTGTCAAGAATAGTTTCCCCTTGAGACCAGCTTTCCACCTGCCCTTTCCATGTATTTAGAGTTTGTCCTTTCAGTGAAACGCCAACTACTTCAATAACTATTGGGAATCCATTACAGCGTTTCAATATCTGCAATGTCCACAGATTAACAAGATAAGTGACTTGAAGGTTGTTGTTAGGTTACAAAAAAAGATATAGAACTAATACCTTTTTGAGAAGAAGTTCATAATCTTTGTCAGATGTCTTATCAGGCCGTGATGCCCATTGAATAAGAAGGGCTCTTGCATCTTGATCTTCCAAAGGTTTCAAATGATAGTTGAATCCAAAGCTCGGAAAATCAAACCGAGACGTCACCAAAATCTTATAATCTGGCAAATCAATTCGAAATTTCTGAAGAAACAACTCGGCTCCTCTCCACACATCATCCAACACCAACAAAATAGGACCGTCTTCTCTGAGTTTCTCAAGCAGGTTTCTTAAACCAACGGTTGCTTGAGACTCATTCTCAAATGTATGTGGAGCATAACCGTTGTGCTGGAGTAGATTCTGTACTATGGCCTTAAAGTTAGGACTACTTGAGACAACATTAAAGAAGATATGCTTGAAATGCCCTGCCAAAAATGGAAACTCTAGATGATTACAAACAAGATACACAAATCAAGCTTATATAAGGATTATTATACCTTTGACACCTGCGTCGTGGCAAAGCTGAGTAGCTAGAGTGGTCTTCCCACACCCGGGAGGAGCAGAGACCACAAGATTAACAACTGCATCGTCAAGGAGTTTCTTCTTAAGCTCCATCAATGGCCAAGCGAAACCAACGGGTGCCTTATTAAGCTTAGGAACCGAACAAAGGTCTCTAAAAACAGGGACAGGAGCAACGCTAGAGCCATCTATTTTAACACCTATGTCGTACACCATATCAACAAGGTGTCCCCCTATATTCAACAACTTCAACTGGTTCCTATACTGAAGAACCTGAAGATTAATATCACAGAACTTGGTCATCTCTTTATTAATATCCTCTATTTCTCTGGCGTAAGTAGATTTCTCGTAGAACGGGACTTCGTCGTGGTCTTTGAGCTCGCGAACCAGTTCATAAGCTTTTCTTATCGTTTCCATCAGTTGTTTTAGCTCCCCTGCACCAAGGTCTAGCTCGTTTTGCATCGAATCGATCTCTTTGGTCAACGGAAGCAATCTCTCCATCGTTTCCGCGAGATCTTTGGACAAGGGTTTGAAGGATTTGTACTTCTTTGCCTCTTTAATCACAAGTTTAAGAGCCTCCGAGACCAAAGCTCCCCCAACCGAACCTAACCCCAGAGATACCCAATCGTTCATTCTTGTTTCTCTTCCTTCGTACCAACACACAGAACAATTAAAAAAATTCTCACGTTTTGTCTGTGTGATCTGAGATTCTCTGAAAATCTGAAAAGTGAAAGAAGTGTAACAAAAACGATAGTAGGTAGAGCGAATAAATAAATAAATAAATAAGGTATTTAGCTTCATTGCAAAGCAATACTAGCGTCGTCCTCGTTGACTTGAAGTCCATTACAAAATATTATTATTACCTTCCTTTTGCTTCCCACTTACCGCGCTATTACTTGGAAACTGCGTTTAAGCCGTTAACTATCCGCGTCGTCATTCTCACGCGCCATAGGTGGTTGGTTCTTGTGCTCTTTTCCCGCGTGCGAACGTTATGCGTTTCTTAGTAGTTTTAGGCCACCATTTAAAAGCAGTATCCCACACACATGAGCTTTATTATATTTCTCACAGGGCCCATTTCCCTTGAATTTCGTATGTTTTTCTTTCTTTTTGTTTTGTGTTAGACACAAAATGCGTAATTAAAAAAACATGCTCATGATATGGGATGAAATTTTTAATTTCGGAGCGGTCGAAATAAGTTAAGAGACAGAGCATGTGACTGTCCATCATCGTGGTAGCTTCCACATGTCATGTTAGTACTAGAGCCCATGTTGGACTCTTGTATATATATATGCATGTCACTTGATTAGTCTAAGTAGTTATTAAGAGACAAGAAAGAAAAGAATCAACATTTAGTGGTTGATATTTTTAATAAACCCATGATGCTTAATCAAAAACTCTGCACATGCTTCCTATTTTGTCATGATAATCCTGCTGCCGACACGTCATTATGCTGCAGAAATGCGATTTCTACTACTGAATTTCCTTTGGTTGACTTGTTTATTACGTACTGTTTGCAGATTGCAGAATAGGTGAACGTAATTAATGTCTTGACTCAATTTCTTAACAACACGTACTTTTATAAACAACGAAGTTTCGTTTTGTGATATGCATGCATGGAATCCATGGACCTATTTTGATATACTATTATCTGACGGTGGACCGTATTTCAAAACTGCGAGTAACTTGAAATGTATCGAAAATTAAAAATGTCTTTAATCAGATTTGCATGTGCCAAAATAAGGAAAATAACTACGTGTCCAGTAAACCAGCAAAAGTGGCACAAATTTCAACAATGCAGATGACATGATATAACAAATAGACGGATACTCTCTTTTTTTCCCATTAAGAATAATCTTTTGTTACAAAATTTTAATTATCCTAAACTACAACAAAGTTCATTTTATATTTGGCGCCGAGAAATGAAAAGCTTCCTTGGGGACGTGAACATGAAGGAAAATGTAGTAGGGCGAATCTAATCAGCGATTCAGCGTCGACAATTTATGACATAATAATATTTTGCTCAAAGCATCTATTGTCTTTTCCTCAATTTATTTCTTTTAATATGTATCGTTATCGGAATAGTCGAATAATGAAAGCTAAGCTTTGGCTGGAAGGAATAATCATATCCAAAACGCGTGAGGAACCATTCAATTCCCTTGTCACCATATTCCACTATGCTTTTCTTCACATTAACTACTTTATTATCGTTTGGTTTTTAATAATTTCTCTAACGAAACCAAAAAATAAAATAATGGCGAAAAACTTACTCGAGATCTTCACTGCCATTGATTGGAACCACCTTCATTACTTTTCCTCCTCTCACTCACTTATGTCACCGACTCACCCTCACCTCTCGCTATCTAATTTCATATTTTATAGACCAAAGTCCCTTCATTTCTCAAACCCATTTTAGGAAAACAGTTTTTTTCTTTTCTTTGCAGCAAGTCTCTTGTTCATACCATTCTTTTAGCAAGCCATTGAAAATGGCATCAAGAACAAGATTATCTTTGCTTCATCTGCTCGGAGCTTTGGCTCTTTTGAGCAGCCTGGTGATAGTGAAAGGAGAAAGCCCTTACAAGTTCTACACATGGACTGTGACTTATGGCATTATCTATCCTCTTGGTGTTCCTCAACAAGTACTAATAGACCGTTTCATCCATTTTTTGTTTGATGCATAGTCCTTTTTTAAACTCTTTATTGATGTTTGTTTGCTTGTTTTAGGTTATTCTGATCAATGGTCAGTTCCCTGGTCCAAAGCTTGATGTTGTGACTAATGATAACATCATCCTCAACCTCATCAACAAACTTGACCAACCCTTCCTCTTGACCTGGTAACCTTTTATACTGTTTCTGTTTTATTGAACCCCCAAAAGATTTCAAGAACATTCCTCTGTTTTGTGTATCCAGCTGATTGATATTTCTTGTATTATTACTACTACTTATAGATAGGGACATATTTGTCTGATTTTTTTTTCAATCTTTGTGGGCTTTAGGAATGGAATAAAGCAGAGGAAGAACTCATGGCAAGATGGGGTGTTGGGAACAAACTGTCCAATCCCACCAAACTCAAACTTCACTTACAAGTTCCAAACCAAAGATCAGATCGGAACATACAACTACTTCCCTTCCACGGCTTTTCACAAAGCCGCCGGTGGATTCGGAGCTATCAATATCTACGCAAGGCCTAGGATCCCTATCCCTTACCCTCTCCCTGTTGAAGACTTCACTCTACTCATCGGTGATTGGTTTAAAACCAACCACAAAACACTCCAACAGCGTTTAGACTCTGGTGGGGTCCTTCCATTTCCAGACGGTATGCTCATAAACGGACAAACTCAAACTACATTCACAGGAGACCAAGGTGAGTTTTATAAAACCTCTCATGAGCTGTCCACAAAAATGTTTCTTGTCTCTTACGTCATGTGTTTTCTTTCAGGCAAGACTTACATGTTCAGAATCTCTAACGTTGGGTTATCAAGCACATTCAACTTCAGAATCCAAGGACATACGATGAAAGTAGTTGAAGTTGAAGGCTCTCATGTCATGCAAACGGATTACGACTCTCTTGACATTCATGTTGGCCAGTCTTTATCACTCCTTGTGACGTTAAACCAATCTCCTAAAGATTATTACATCGTTGCAAGCACCCGGTTCACAAGAGCCAACCTTTCTGTTACTGCTCTCTTGCGTTATTCTAACTCTGGTGTCCCAGCTTCTGGTGACATGCCCCCTCTTCCCCCTGGTGAGCTTGTTTGGTCCATGAGACAAGCCAGAACATTCAGGTTAATAAAAAAACAAAAATCATTTACTTATGTAATAACGTGAATCGCAAGGATTAGGTCATCTTAAAATGGTATATTTTCTTTTAGGTGGAATTTAACAGCAAATGCAGCAAGACCAAACCCACAAGGGTCGTTCCATTATGGAAAAATCAATACGACCAAGTCATTTGTTTTCTCAAACTCAGCTCCTTTGATCAACGGTAAACAACGCTATGCGGTAAATGGAGTTTCTTTTGTGAACTCAGAGACGCCTCTTAAACTTGCTGATCACTTCAACATCACTGGAGTGTTCAGCACGAGTGCTATTCAAAGCGTTCCCTCTAACTCTCCTGCGACTGTTGCAACATCAGTTGTTAAAGCATCTCTCCATGATTTTCTTGAGATTGTGTTTCAGAACAATGAGAAGTCAGTGCAGTCTTGGCACCTTGACGGTTATGACTTTTGGGTCGTTGGGTGAGTCCTCCTTTATCTTCTTTATTCTTCTTCTTGCACAGCGCCTTAACTCTGAACTGTTTGTTTGTTTGTTTGTTATGACAATTAGGTTTGGTTCTGGACAATGGACACCTGCAAAAAGACCACTTTACAATCTTGTTGATGCTCTTACAAGACACACAACTCAGGTAAGAATAAAGAATATTGTTGAGCTTGAAATCTTGTTGAAACTATAGTTTGGTTTGTTTAATGTTGATCTTGGGGGATGCATATAGGTGTACCCAAACTCTTGGACAGCAATCTTGGTGTCTTTGGACAACCAAGGAATGTGGAATATGAGATCAGCGATATGGGAAAGACAATATTTAGGACAACAGTTTTATATGAAAGTGTGGGATCCAGTGCAGAGTCTTGCCAATGAATACAATCCTCCTGATAATCTTCTTCGCTGTGGCAAAGCTATTGGAAGACACCTCTAGAGAGATTCTCTTTATTTCTTTTTTGAGTTTTTTTTGTTGTTGTTGAGGTTTATGGTTTTGTTCTTTTTGGTCATGAGAGTATGGCTAGTGGTGGGTTAAACACAGTGAAGAAGAAAAGGTTAATGTCTTTTGGTAGAAAGGAGAGGTTATGGAGTTTTAAAAATAGAGAATCTTTTTGTACAAGTAGTTGTTCTTTCTAATAATGAAGTCTTTATTTTACCATAATTTTGAGAGGGTTATTCAACTCTAAAGAACATCCTCCATTTTTCCTTCTAAAAATGGACTGCTTCCAAAGTAAAGCTAAATTTAATAGGATTAGAATACTTCACACAAGAAAAATGGAGTAAAATTGTAGGAGTCTCCAAAATTCTAAAATTTCAGACATCTTTTCTAATGATGATGAAAGAGATTTTATAATAAGAAAAAAACTTGATTTTAAATGTTCAGTGACAGATAATGGGCCTTAATAAAGCCCAATACGAGAGATCCATACCCAAATTAATTTAACACAAAACACACAGAAACGAAAATTAAACCAAACCAAACGGGTTGCAATTTGGTGGTAGAACACGATCAGAAATCACTACTTCATCTTCTTCTCTTTCGAGGAACCCTAATTCGAGATTTGGGCGAATATGAATTGCGAAGCTTGTCAGCTAAAGGAACTGGTAAGAATCTCCTTCCTTCTTCTTCTTTTGCTAGTGTGAATTCAGTCCATCGATTCCTGTTTGATACTGATTATTCTCCCATCGACAGGAAGTGGAATCCTTCGAGATACGCGAGGTTCTACGCTGTAAGTTTCTCACAGCCTTGTCTTGTGTTTCTGATTCATGTGTGTGTCGGGACTCAGTTAGCTGGTCGGAGATCCTATTTATCAGATAGCGTCTGAGTTTTTTTAGAGATTTGATTAGGTCTTTCTAATCTCACATTTGATTAGATTTTGGGAGTTTTAGAGATCATTTTTGTATTAGGATATAATACATCGGTGACCGTACACTTGTCATTTCTATGGTGTTTGTTATATATTTTTATTTTCTGAAACTATTTGATGGCAGGCATTCTGCATACTATAGTCTTTCATCGAGCACTTGGTCTTATCCGCCCTAAAGATGTCGATTTGGAGCTTTTCGAGATCACTTACGTAACCCTTCATTATCTCTCTCTCTATATGCTTTGTTTGTTATGCTACAGAAGAAGAGATGTTCTATGCTTCATTTCACTTATGCACGTGTGTGTGTGTGTCACACAGGTACAATGCGGAGAAATAGAAGTGGAGAAGAAAATTGATGAAAAGATTGAGCAGCTCATTACCTGGATTGACAAGCACCCCAACAAGAAATGTCAGGTACCTTCTTTACATCTCTATTTCACTTTCATACTTGCTCAAAGCATATATGTTAATTTGGCAGCTTATCTTATTATTCTTCATGTGTTAGTTAATGCTCTCTTTCTTTTCTTTTTCTTTTCTTGTTGCCAAGATATGTCTATCGTTTTATGAAGTCAAGACCAAACAGCCATCCTGGTTCACTAATAAAATTGAACGCTCCTACTGGGAACAATGGCATATCAGTCTGAATGTGCTTCTCCCTACTAAACCCCCTATCGGAAAGTCTCACCACTCTAAACTAGTTGTGGACCCTGGAGGTAAAGCTTCCCTCCTTTTCATCTCTCTCCAGTAATTTCCATTTTTCTTACGAAATGATTGTAATGTTCTTGATACAATTATTGACTGTAGAGGAGTCTGAGGAGAGAAGTTCACGTAGGACACTGCTTGAGCAATCCCTTCAAGAAGTCTTGTTCCAAATCATTAAATTCGTTAATGAGAAAAAGGATCACGTTCCTCCTATCAACGATGGTGTTATCTACTGCCCCTTTGAGATCACTTTCCCTAGGTACACATCACCCTCTACTTTATTCACATTTTAAAGACTATATTAAGGTGTTTTTGTGCAGCAGAGAATGCAGAGATTGAGGCTAACTTTTTTGGTTGCAGTGCATCGGACTCAACCTTTGGGATGGATATGCTCAAAAGGATGCTCCACAGTGGTAGTCATCCATCCATGCTCAGTTAATTTCACATTATCCACTTCAACTTTCATTATTAGTACACTTTGATGTTAATGCTTGCAGCCTAACTCTTGTGTGTTTCCTACATCCATTTCGTGTGTAAATATATGTAACAAAGTTCATTTACTTTTAATACAGATTAAGCATTTTCTTAAAAAAGAAACTGGATACTTGTAGTCCAAAGATTACCATATTAGGGATGAACATTAGAGCCAGTAAAAAACAACAAACGTAACCTAACTAAAAATAAGCAGACACCACACTACTTAGAGATCACTAAACTGAAAAGAAGAAGAAGATGGTGTCTCAGTACTCTCACGCTAAGTAGTCTCCAGCCACGAACCCGACCTTACTCTCAAGACCATCCAACTGCCACGTCCCGTGTACCGGAGCCGCATGGCCTGTAGCAACTACTGTAGCATCAGTAGCTCCAGTGGAAAACGGCCAGACCGTTATCCCTTGCCCAAACCTAACATCATCGAAGAAATACGACCCATGACCAAGCCCAAGTCCAAACCCTTCCAGCCCATTAAAACCACCACCAGGCCCATCTCTGCTCACGGCGGCGTTGTTGCTGAGCAAAGTGGTGAAACCGCCGTAGGGCGAGGGCGTGTTTCCCTTACCGCCACCGTTGGAGGAAGGAGGGAAAAGAACAGGCGTCGCTTGTAACGGGAAGTTCCGGCTTCCGACGGCGACGGAGGAGAAAGCTCGGGAGCGTTTAGAGGTTTTGCGGGAAACGCCTCCGACGGGAATGTCACGGAGAGTGCCTCCGTGAGTCCAGTAACGGCGGCAAGACTTGCAGAAATGGCGAGGCTGAGAGAAGTTGTAGTTGTTGTAGTAACAGAACTTTGTGTTGGTTGATTCACAGCGAGGACAAGGAAGCTGTTCTTGTTGCTCCGTCGCAGCTCCTCCGTGAGGAACCTTAGTAGTTAACCGACGTGATTCGTTGAAGTCAGAAGGCATGTTTGAAAAGATATTTTAAGCTTTGAGTGTGTTGAGTGTTGGAACTTTCTGAGAGAGAGTGATGCTCTTTTTATGGACAAGGGAGAGAGAGAGCAAAGAGGTTGGGAAGGAGAAGAGAGTGAAGCTTTTTGACAGAGTTGTGTTGGGTTTATTGAGTACATAGACAGAGAAAGAGATGCTCTGCTTCTTTCTCCTTAATAAGACTCTCTCTCTCTCTTTGCTTCATGCTACGTAGGTGGCTCTTCTTTCAATATTTTTTTTCTGTTTTTAAATTTATCCGCAAATCTCTACTAATTCTATCACATGTGTAGACAATTTTAAAGTTATTAGAACAAAAAATATAGAGATTTGATTGAAGAATATATTAAAAACATGTACATGGGAAGAGCAAACTAGAGAGAGTAGGCAACAACATGCAGAAAACGTAGCTATTAATTATTATGCAGTTCCCAATAAGTTCAACCATTGTAGTATTGTTTAGTGCTCATAGCCAGTTTACTCCTTGGAGATTAGCATTAATGATGGCGTGAGTATATGTGCTACCAATTACCACAGTACGGTACCTCAATATGTATAGTACTACTTTTTTTTTAATTAGTCTCAAGTTAAATTTGCAGTTTAGCACAATGTATTTATAAACCAACTTGATCATTAATTTTTTGTATAATGGTCTTATGCGTGGATTAAGGCCATGTGAGAAACTACCATAAAGACACGATAATCGTAAGAATTCTGTCTGGCTCTAAACATGCTCTGGGCGGAACAAAACAAATAGTTAACGTATATGTGGTCTTGTTCCAAACGAAAGAAGAGGGTTATAATTGTAAATTAAGGACTAAACCGGTCAAAAGAGGCAGAAGATGTTCGTTTTGTGAATAGACAGAATCAAGCTAAGCTTGTCGGATAAAGACTGGATGTTGAGAGTAGGAATTAAGAAGCATGCATAAAATCTTCACACCAGAAACATTTAGAAAGAGACATGTGAGAAGTGTGTGTGTGAAAACGTGTCTACTGGTTCAGAGCCGTCCTTTCTCTGTGTACCGACCAGTCTCATCTGGTCAAGCTCTGACACAATTCTCTCTTTATCCCATTCTTTTTGTCATTTACCTCACTGAGTCTGAGTTCTATCTCTCTTCTCTGGAGGAGTGTTTTCGTTATTTCATTGAAACTTCAAAGGCTACGTTTATACTCTGGTCTGTGTGTCTAATGGGCCTTTTAAGATGTATGCAGTTAAGCCATGGGCCTTAGATCTTCCACATTGTTGGGCTAATTATCCTCTTTTTCCGCTATTTACTCTTACCTAATACTTTGACCCACACCAAATTATTTACTTAAATGATATTTTGTTTCTGTGTCCAACCTTATGTTTTTTTAATAATTCAATAAGTGTGTAACGGTACTGATATCCAATAATATGCAATCTGACATGTCCGTATAAAGAAACATTGCAATAATCGTACTTTATTTACAATGGGCCTATATGTTGTGTTTGTGCATGTTTCACCAAACATCCCATTATGAGTTGAAAGATAGTCAAAGCTGAAAATAACTTTACTTGTGCATGTCAATCTAAGCCATGATCTGTGTCCCATTTCGAAAGTGAAATCATGGTCATCATCATAATAGTAAAACAAATAGGTACCAATTAAGAAATCAAAGATCAGAGTAAATAGATTGAAACAATAATTATAAGAAACAAAAGGGAACAATAATTACAAAACACACATTAAAATTTACTCTGTTGTTGAGCCCACACACTACCTACTAATATTTAATTGGTTTAAATTAAATCATATTCTTGGCTACTTTATGAGAAAAAATGTATTGTTACAAATACAACCAATAAATGTGTGGGTTGGATCATAAATTAGGAAATTTATGACCTACTTTTCCAAAACCGTTTCAGACAGATACTGAAGAAGAATATTGGTGAGGATGTAGATGAATTACGTAATAAATTGAGTTCTTTTTTCAGAGAAAGAACACCAAATAATATCAAGGAAATAATATCTGAAGGTGCTAATACTAGTTTTGTTATCTTGTATAAATAGTCAAAACAACAGCTAATATAAAATAGGAGTATATATTGTTCATAAATTAATAGCTGTATAGTTTTACCACCAAAAATTATCAAAAATGACTTTGAAAAATTTCTCTGGTTGTGGTTGTAAAAGAAGAGATAAAAAAGAGACTTAACATCATTAAGAAAAAGAAAAGTCTCTTCTCTGGCTTAAAAAAAAAAAAACTTGAGAGCTTCAAAATGAATTGAAAAAAAAAAAATACAGTCAAGCAAAAAAGAGAAAGAAGGAAGCTTTCATGGGTCCCAGAATAACTAAAAGATAATCAAAATCGAATTATAAAAATTTCAAAAAATCATATGCAATATGCTGCGTCGATTGATTGATTAAAAAAATAAGAAGAAAAATAAAATAAATAAAAAAGTGATGCTTGGAATTGAGAACAGCAAGTAACAGCAAAGATTAAGCATTTGATTGATAATTAAAAAAAAGTCAAAATAGCATTTTGGGATTTTCGTCTGAGAGAGCCTTTTCAGATCTCTCTGTTTTGTGGATCTCCTCCCTCTTCTCTGTTCAAAGAAGACCAACAAAGGTTTGACTTTTTGATCCTCTCGTTTAATCAAGTAATGATTTTGACTTGTGGGTTCTGTTTCTGATCATCCCAGGTTTCTAAATCACTAAGCTTTTTGGTTTTGTCTGATTAGGTTTCAGAATTTTTGATGCATATCTCACTTTGGAAGCCAATTTATCACTGTGCTACTGCTGCTCTAGCTCTCGACAAGAAGAGCAGCAGAGATGTTTCTGAGTCCACAAAAGCTCGAAAACTCCATGAATCCAAGCTCAGGGAAGCTCTCGAAGCTGCATCTGAAGATGGCTTACTCGTCAAGTCTCAAGACATTGAAGAGGAACAAGAAGACGACAACAACGAGCCTCAAGATAAAAGCCTTGGACGGTCTAGATCACTCGCTAGGCTCAACGCTCAACGTGACTTCTTGCGTGCCACTTCCATCGCTGCTCAAAGAGCATTTGAGTCAGAAGAGGCTTTACCTGAGTTAGAAGAAGCGTTGAACACGTTTCTAACGATGTATCCAAAGTATCAATCTTCAGAGAAAGTTGACCAATTGAGAAACGATGAGTATTTTCATTTATCGTTACCAAAGGTATGTCTTGACTACTGTGGATTCGGGTTGTTCTCGTATCTTCAGACAGTTCATTACTGGGACACTTGTACTTTTAGTTTGTCGGAGATTAGTGCTAATCTGAGTAACTATGCTTTACACGGTGGTGCTGAGAGAGGGTCCATTGAACATGATATCAAGGTTAGGATCATGGATTACTTGAACATCCCTGAGAATGAGTATGGTCTTGTCTTCACTGTTAGTAGAGGCTCTGCTTTCAAGTTACTTGCTGAGTCTTATCCCTTTCAGACCAACAAGAAGCTTCTGACCATGTTTGATCACGAGAGCCAATCAGTTAGTTTGATGGGTCAGTGTGCTAAGGAGAAAGGTGCAAAGGTTGGTAGCGCTTGGTTTAAATGGCCTACGCTTAGGCTGTGTTCTATGGATCTCAAGAAGGAGATTATGAGTAAGAAGAAGAGGAAGAAGGATTCTGCTACCGGTTTGTTTGTGTTTCCGGTTCAGTCGAGGGTCACAGGGTCTAAGTATTCTTACCAGTGGATGGCTCTAGCTCAGCAAAACAATTGGCATGTCTTGCTTGATGCTGGTGCTTTGGGTCCTAAAGACATGGACTCTCTTGGCTTGTCTTTGTTCCGCCCTGATTTTATCATCACTTCTTTTTACCGTGTGTTTGGGTATGATCCAACTGGGTTTGGTTGTCTGTTGATTAAGAAGTCTGTGATTAGCTGCTTGCAGAGTCAATCCGGGAAGACGAGTTCAGGTATTGTGAAGATAACACCAGAGTATCCTCTGTACCTTAATGACTCAATGGATGGTTTGGAAGGTTTGACAGGGATTGAAGATAATGATATCGCCCTTAACGGGGGAACTCAACTGCCAGCGTTTTCTGGTGTTTATACTTCTGCTCAAGTGCAGGATGCCTATGAGACTGATATGGTTCATGAACTTGGTTCAGACAAAGATGGAACAAGCACTGTTTTTGAGGAAGCTGATAATATCTCAGTGGGTGAACTGATAAAGAGTCCGGTTTTCAGTGAAGATGAGTCAGATAGCCAGCTCTGGATCGATTTGGGTCAGAGTCCTGCTGATTCTGATAACAAGCAGAAGAGTCCTTTACTTGTGGTTCCTCAAATCCACAAACGAAGGATCTCGACTAAACCTGCTTCAAAGGCTGAGAATGGTAGTAACGGTGGAAGCCATGTTCTCTCGTTTGATGCTGCTGTTTTGTCAGTATCACATGAAGTGGGCCAAGCATCAGCCACGGGAGAAGAAAAAACTGAAACGAACCAGATAGACACAACTAGTCTTCGGTTGCATAGTGAGATAGAAGAAGAAGATGAAGGGAGCAGCAGTAAGATGATATCTGAAGGAAATGGAAATGGTTTAACCTCTGGAACTAAAGAGAGTGCAATAAGAAGAGAAACCGAAGGTGAATTTAGACTGTTGGGAAGAAGGGAGAAGAGTCAGTACAATGGTGGGAGACTTCTTGTGAATGAAGGTGAACATCCCAGTAAACGAAGAGTATCGTTTAGAGCAGTAGATCATGGAGAAGCATCAGTGATCAGTCTTGGGGATGAAGAAGATGAAGAAGAGGATGAAGATGGAAGCAATGGAGCAGATTGGGATGATGATCAGAGAGAACCAGAGATTGTTTGCCGCCACATTGATCATGTGAACATGTTAGGTCTCAACAAAACCACCTCGAGGCTCAGGTACCTCATTAACTGGCTTGTGACTTCTCTACTCCAACTAAGGCTGCCGAGCGCAGATCCAGAAGGAGAGCACAAGAACCTTGTTCAGATTTATGGTCCAAAGATCAAATACGAGCGGGGATCTTCTGTAGCATTCAATGTTAGGGACTTGAAAAATGGAATGGTGCATCCTGAGATAGTGCAGAAACTAGCTGAAAGAGAAGGAATATCCCTAGGCATTGGTTACCTCAGTCATATAAAGATCATCGATAGTTTAAGAGAAGATTCAAGTTCTTGGAAACAGGTGGATCGAGATGGAAAAAACAAAGGGTTCATAAGAGTTGAGGTTGTCACAGCATCCCTTGGGTTCTTGACAAACTTTGAAGATGTTTACAGATTATGGAGTTTCGTGGCAAAGTTCTTGAGTCCAGGTTTTGCTAAACAGGGGACACTCCCAACAGTTATTGAAGAAGATGATGGCTCTTCAGACACTTAAAAAGAACACATGAGCAATGGATGCTTCTCTTTTTTTTTATTCCTACCTTTTTTGTACTTATATCTGTATGAAGAGAGGCGATCTCAGACAAGTTTGCAGCTGTTTTGCATATTGTTAATGTTGTTCATTCATTTTCTGTCTTTGTGTTACACAATTCATTGATTCTTGGAAGTTATAGAACCAAAAGATATATATCTATAGCTAGGCTAGCTACTCTCTCTGTGACTGATGGTTTGCTTTCAAGTTTCCATCATCTTTATGAGAAATGCAATCTCTAACGCAGCTTCCTTAGTCTGCAAGAACCTGTTTTCTTCCACAATATCAGTCGTCAAGTTGAGCAAGACTGGGCGTTTCGGGTCATTGAATGTATTGTCACGAACTCTTGCAACCCATTTAGCAGCTTCCCACACACCAAATCTGACAATGCAAGAGAAGATATCTCAAACATACATAGGAGGTAGAGTATAAACCATCAATGACCATGAGAAGATTGGTTCCTTACCGAGTATTGAACGAGGAAGTAACTAAAACTGCTGGATAAAGAACATCTTTAGGAATGTTGTCATAAGGAGAGTATTCACGTATGGCATGAAAATCATCTATATCTCCTGGATATCCAAACTCTTCGTAATCCTCTGCCGTTAAGGGTAGTATTGGATGTATTAGAGTATGAGTTGGATCAAGAAAAGGAACCTGGGGACAAAGACAAAACAAGCAGTTCATGTTTTAACGCTTCATTACTTTTTTTTCTGGACCTTGCTTATTACCTTTAGAACAGCAGCTTGGAAGAGATCAGGACATTGATTGATGGCTGAAGCAACCACAAGCCCTCCTGCACTGTATCCCCAACCAGCAAGTTTGTTTTCTTGAACTATATTGTTCTCAGCAAGGAACTTAGCACAGTGAATGTAATCTTTAATGGAGTTTAGTTTCTTTGCGCCTCTTCCTTCTTGATGCCACTTCTTTCCTTTTCCACCTCCACCTCTGTCCCAAAAATCCAAAAATTTATACATATCTTCACACAGTAGCTTTAAGGTTTTGAGAGAGACGAGAAGAAGGGACTGACCTAACATCTGCATATGCAAGAACCCATCCACGGTCAAGGAGGCTTTTAAGTTCACTACGCCATCTCTTATCAAGCATTTCACCATAAGCACCATGGACATGAAGCAAACCAGGTTTCCCATTCTCCTCTCTCTGAGCTCTCGAGTAAACAACAGTTAATGGAACCATGGATCCATCATGAGAAGAGACTTCATGGTAATCACACGCGTAAAACTCGGTTAACTCATTCCACAAGTTGTCATTATCGGCAGTAGCATCCTCAGTATCAAAGCTGACAATTCTTGTCCCTGAGGGTATATTAGGGCTCTCTGTGGAGTTTGCAGTGCCATATAAAACTCGTGTTCTTTCGTGAAGCAAGTTTTGCTGCTGTACAATGTTCCATTTCCCATTCAATAAATCATAATCTACCACAGCATCAGGCATCTGCATACCGAAAATGGTTAAAACTCAAAAAAAAAATTGGCAACTAACATAACTCTGGACCGCTAATGAGTTGTTATCTTACCACAAGTGATGAAATGGTGAACCGCATTGTTGGAGAATTGAAGTCATAGTTTGTGCCAGGAGATATTTGAGAAACGTGATTTGGAAGAGGAAGATAACGAGGTTGAATATCTCTCAGACGAACCGGTAACTGTTTATAAGAAACATCTATCAATCTGATTGATAATGAAAGTAACTAAGTGGAGTAAGCTTTACCTGCTCTGTCTTGAGAGGTAGATCAACCACACAAATTTTAAAGCTCTGCATTTGCTTCACAATGAGGGATAGATGTGCTTTGCAGAAATCAACATCCTCTATGATTAGTTCAGGGTCGTCTATAAAAACTGGCTGCAGGAAAAAAATGAACATATAAAGATGAGACTGGAAAAATATGATACTAATCAGAAACTTTTGAATCAGCCAAACAAACCTCCCAGATCCTTGGACTGGAAGAGAAGTGAACAGAACTACGAAGAAGATAATGATGGTCGAGTGTTCCACCGTCTTTGGAAGCATCTGTAAACAAATAGAGGAATCCCTGATGATGCTCGATTATGCAGTGTGCTGGAGCATTGTGTTCCCAAACCAATGCCAAACCAGAAAACGGGTCAGCTGCATTTATCAGAAAGACCTAAGAGACATAGTACTTGTTGTTACGATTACAACAGCACAAAAAATACTAAAAGCTTTAACAAATCAATTTGGAGGTTTCACCTTGGAAAAAGTAGGAGAGAATGTATTTACAGTCACAAAGTCAAAATCTTTTGTATGTCTTATGTTAACATGAACATTGCCTTCGGTTTCTTCGTGAAGCAAAACATCCTCATCCGTTGACCCAATCATGCTACAATAAATCCTGATAACATAACAACAAAACTTATAGCTGAACCAGACAGACCACCTGATCAGAGGAAACTTGATTACCTGAATGGTCGTTTTTTCTGATCAGTGACGACATAGAGCAAAGCCTGCCCGTTCTTTGCCCATGCTAAGTTGGAGACACGGTCTGCGTGAGGCTTACTACACAGAGCACCAGAGTTCAAGTTTCTCACACACAATCTAAAGTAGTCGTTGTCCTTATCATACATAGTGTATGCAAGAAACTTATGGTCAGGTGATATCTCAGACATTTCTTCGTAAGCATAACCTACAAAAACCAAACACAAAAAAAACTGTTGATTCCTTACAACTAAGAGAGCCTCTAACTGTTCTAGTTACCTCCAAATCTTTGAGCTTCGTGATTGTAGTCAAGCAGCTTCNGACATTTCTTCGTAAGCATAACCTACAAAAACCAAACACAAAAAAAACTGTTGATTCCTTACAACTAAGAGAGCCTCTAACTGTTCTAGTTACCTCCAAATCTTTGAGCTTCGTGATTGTAGTCAAGCAGCTTCTGCTCAATCCTCTTCCCAGAAGTGAAATCAAACCCTGCAGCAGGAGACTTATGAGAAATGAACTCTTCATGCAAGCTAGCTAGCCTCCTACACAGTACTGGATACTGCTTCCCTTCTTCAACCCTTCTATAATACAACCTGTTAAAGCCAAATAAAGAAGGAAACATTTCAAACTAATTTACACAAAAAGATCCAAACTTTTAATCCCAATGCTCTAGAAATCAGTTGAATACAAACTGTTTCCACAAAATCAATGTCTAATTGCCAAATAAAGGACGAACATTTCAAACTAATTTACACAAAAAGATTCAAACTTTTCCCCACCCTTTAATCACAAGATTCAAACTAATTAAATACAAACCGTTTCCACCAAATAAAATATCTAATTGCCAAATAAAGGACGAACATTTCAAACTAATTTACACAAAAAGATTGAAACTTTTTCACCACCCTTTAATCTCAATACTCTTGAAAAAGGACAAGAAAGTCATTTTACTTTAAAAAAAAACATCACTCACCAAGGTCCCCAACGAAGAGGAGGCGTAGAGAGCTCAAAAGACAAGCGAGAAGCCATCTCAGACTGGAGCTTGCTCTGTATCCGATCCGTATCTGCCAACACAGCTTCGGTATACTTCTCCTCTTGCTCCATATAGATATCCATGTGCCGCATCGCCACTTTGTCTTCGAGCTTAGACATCCAGCTGTAAGGATCCTCCCACGTCGCGTCGTGGAAGGTGAAGCTCTGTGGCTTTTTTGGAGGTTTGGGTAACGTTGGTGGTGGTGGAGGAGGTGGAGGAGACTTCGGAGGCTTGTAACGGCGGCATTGTTGTCGGAAATGATGGTTGTAACGGAAGGTTCGGGAGAGATGTGAGAGCATTGTTATTGGGGTTTTACAAGAGGGGTTTTGCGTCTCAGTGATGATTAAAAACATTAAAACCTTCCGTCTCGCAAAGAGGCTTTCCCTCCTACATAGAACGTTTGTGCTTCTCAGGCTTCGTATCATGTCATGGTTAATTAGGCTCATTTTCATGAATGATTGATTGTGCTAAATATGCGAGTTCATCATACCTTTGCTGGTTTGTCATCTTCCAATATCTTTTTATGGCGTGAATATATATGCATATAGATCATAGTAGTTTGTAACTAAAATAAGTTTTTAATTAGACAAGAAAATAAAGAGTAACGCTTTGTATAATTATCTGTTTGTGATTTTTCAAGAGCTGGCTTCATCTTTTATGTATGATACATGCACACAATGCTTCGCTATCCTTTTGGTTTTGTTTTTGTTTTTACATAATATTTTCATTAAAAAGTACAACCCCGAAGGGTATAGGAACAACGCAAAGCCGGCGAACCGGAGAAGCAACGATGAAGTACACAAACAAACAGAGACTAAGAAGTAGATATAACACAGAGAGAGATTAAGGTATGGGAAGAAGACCTCCTTACTCAGATTGAAACCGGTGGAGCCAATCCGGTTATCCGTGATATCACACCGCCGGGGTGTCCAAGTCCAGCGTGATGTTCGATCGACGGTGTACCGTCACAGCAATCCACCTCGGAGGCGTCCCGCGGCCAACGTTGGCTGCCTTTTATATACAAAAAGCTTATACAATATAGTTCATCAAACCTTAATATTATGGCTGACTTGCTTGATCTCTAGACTGCCTCTGGCTAGGCTCCTCATCAATAGCTCTAAGAGCTTCTGCAAACGTTAACCCAGGTAAACGGGAGGCAGGCTGTGGTGGAACGGGGATAGGCTCATCCCTCTCTAGCATTTCGATCACTCTTATCATTTCTGGACGATCTGATACTTGGTACTGAATGCAGCAGAGACCCACCGACACTAATTTCTTAGCAATTTTCTCTTCTGCTTGGCTTAGCTCATATCCAAACATCCTCATGATTTCTCCAGTCCCAAGATATTCATAGATCCAATCTGGGAAGCGAGTTGCACCGTTGTTCTGCCCAGAACCTCCATCTATATCTCTATGTTTCAACCCCATCATCGCAAAAATGACCAATCCAAAACTATAAATATCTACCTTATGCGAAACAGCTCCATATTCTCTGAAAATCATTTCAGGTGGCATAAATCCTGGAGTACCCCTGGCAGATAGCATTGACTTGAGGCTTTCCATTTTCTTGCACGTCTTTGCAAGCCCAAAATCAGCGATCTTTGGTAGAAAATTCATACCAAGGAGTATGTTGTCTGGCTTTATATCGAAATGGATAATCCTCTGACCACAATCATCGTGCAGATTCTTTAGGCCTCGAGCGATGCCCAGTACAATTTTATACGCCATCTCCCATTCCATCATCTTTGGCTCATGTCTCTTAATGAGGTCTGCCAGTGAACCTTCCGGCATGTACTCATAGATTAAAGCTATGTGGCTCTCCTCATAGCAGTACCCCAGAAGGGAGACAATATTATCATGAAATGTTTTACTAAGACTCCCTAGTTCACTGATGAACTGGCTTTCATTCACATCCTTCAATATCTTCACCGCAACATCTCTGCAGCTATTTGGCAATCGTCCTCTGTATACAATGCCAAATGAGCCTTCCCCGATAACATGGTCGAATGACTTTGTCATCTTCTTGATATCTGCGAACTTATATCTTGTCAGCCATATTAACGAGTTAAACCCAGTTGGTTCCGTATTCACCCTTGTCACATCCTCCTTTCTCACATTACACGGTTTGAACACAACCACAATCACAAAAAGGATGACTATAATGGAAGCTGCCGAGACTGTTACAGTAAGAGGAGGAGAATAATCAAAATTAGGTTCTATGTTGTCACATAGATTGAGGGACAGGGTGTGTACCTAGTATAATGCTTAACCGCGAGAAAGACTTTACTGAAAAGCAAAAAAAAAACAAAAAACAAAAAAGGTATTAACAGATGATACTAATGCTGCAATCTACTGTAGCAAACAAAAGCTTGGTCAGAACACAAGCTTATATGGGTACAATGACAAGAAGTCAACCACAAAGATGAATAAGTCTGAGGTTTAATAAGTCACAGTTCTATTTCCGGTCCAGGACAACAAGATGAGATAACCAAATGTCTGCATCTACACTACCAACATCAGGAAAAGAGTGTTAACTTATTCACACCACCAACAACATTTTATTTGGTTACTAAAAACTAGAATCAGTCAACTGAAACCTTACAATTTTCAAACACTATAATAGTTAACATAAGACTAGAGGACGTAAAGAGGCTTTGACATGGATTTTAAATTATAAGAGGTTAACAACCTGGAGACGGCAAAGCAGCTGGAGATGAAGCTGGAGGTAAAGTAGAAGCTGACAAAGAAAAAATTAAAAAGGTTTTAGTTCAACGAAAATGATTTGTAAATGTGTTAGCAGTAACAGAAATAGAAAAATGTCGAGATTAGATTATGCATCCGAACAGTGTCGTGCGTCAGTGTTAAGAACCGAAGCATTCGCTTATGGCATCATATTTTTGTGAAAGATTTGTGGGGCATATACATATCCATAAGTAAAGTGTTATTGATTGCTTCTCAACTTGAGTACGTATATAGTAAAATCACTAGCAATGTTTTCTTTCCTTATCTTTAATTACAGTTACAATTTAGATGTTAATTATAACCAGTTAATTATAATTATATATATTTTAATTTACCTTTTCGATTTATCCATATGTCATCTTATTTTCTTTTATCGTAATACTTCTTTTTCTTCATTTTATATGTTTCTTTTTATCTATTACAATCTATATTATTAAAAGATAAGTACAAAATAAAAAATAACCTTTAATTTTACCAATTATTTATATTAAAATACCATTGAGATATTTATTGAACTTATATTTAAGTATGTTTGTGTTTTTCTAATTTAAATATAGATTTAAATGTTTAATATCTTTTCATAATTTAAATAATAGATTTGTTTGGTCAAATCTTAACAAAATAAATTTTCTAATATATTTAGTATTAACAGATTAAATATTTTAATATTTAGTAGTAATAAATAATATGTTATTTTTCTTTTAAACAAATTTATTTAATAGAAGTTATAGTTATAAATATGTTTATATATTTTATATATTTATAATTTTTTTTTTTGATTTTAAGGGATGCTAAGATTTTAATATAGAAGTTTAAAATTTATATAAAAATATTTTATTAAATTTTTAATTTGAATTATTATAACTGTAAAAAAATTAATTTTCAATCTAAATTTATGTTTAAATATTATAAATACATCATTTTATATAAACAAAAAAACATAAAATAAATACCCCCGTGCGGGTCAAATTTATTTGTTTATACCCCTAATCAGCAAACCCTTGTCTCACAAACAAAGATCAAGATGTGACTTTTACCATAGTAGCAACGGGCTACGTAAGTTCCGCAACGACTGCTGAGACTGATAGCTTGCGTAGTAGTGACGTTGAAGTGAGCGAGCAGGATTGGAGCTTTGTAGATTGCGCAGAGACATCTCGGATCTGCCTTCAAAGAATCGCAACAAAGCCTCGAAGGCTTCGTCGTGGTGTTGAGGTAAGCATAACAGGGGGTAAGCTTACTTAGGCACGAAGTTTGCGGCTGAACAGTAGGTAACGCAATCATTGTCATCGCCATCGCCAAGATCGTCGCCCTCATCGTTGCGTGTTGTTGTTCTTCTCTGTTTTCGGGACAAATCTTCTCTCTGTTTTTAACACTAAAAGTTCATTCATTATTCATCCAAATCATATAACCTGCAAATTCTTTTATATTATTCTAATATTGGCGGGGCCGAGTTCTCTTCTCTGTTAATCAATCTGGGTTGTTGCTTTTTAAGTTTATATATATATTTGCAAATAAAAAAATCATAACTGGCCAATATTTTTCTCGAATATATCAAACAATTTTGTATGTTATATGCATGAAAAAAAATAAAGAGAATAAAATTTACTTAGATACCATTTCTTATTGACTAAGTAATACGGATTTTGGGAGTAGTATAAGTTTACAAATCTTTATCATTAAATTCAAAATCTTAATAAATTATGAAGAAAAAAAAAATTCTATTGTAAACTAGAAAATGGTTACACACTATGCTTTACTATTGAAAAAATATGAATGAACCCTTTACACCAAAAATATTCAATAGGCTGTTAAACAATAAAATTAACGGTGAGTAGTCCAAAAGTAAATATTTGTATGTTCAATCAATTTACCAAGTTCATACAAAAGATCATCTAATTACACCATAAGCACCATGAACATGAAGCAGGCCAGGTTTCAGGTTCTCATCTCTCTGAGCTCTCGAGTAAACAACAGTCAATGGAACCATGGCAAGTTGTCATTCTCATCTCTCTGAGCTCTCGAGCTGACAATTCTTGTCCCTGAGGGTATATTAGGGCTCTCGGTGGAGTTTGCAGTGCCATATAAAACCCGTGTTCTTTCATGAAGTATTATCCATGTATGTACTCTTTGTTCATTGTTTTAGTGTACATGATCGAGTCTGTATAGATTTGGTTTAGTTTCCCGGTTTAGGCTTCTGGTTAGCCACATAGAGTCTGTATATAAACCAGCTCCTTTGTACATTTTACAATTAATGGAAATGAGTTTATTTACTGAAATGAAGCATGTTTTGCTGCTGTACAATGGAACTGCATACCGACAATGTTTTAGAACTTACAAAATTATTAACTACAGATGCAGAAAACAGCAAGTGGGTTGTTATCTTACCACAAGTGACGAAAGGGTGAACCGCATTGTTGGAGAATTGAAGTCGTAGTTTGTGCCAGGAGATATTTGAGAAACGTGCTTCGGAAGGGAAAGATAACGAGGTTGAATATCTCGCAGGCGAACCGGTACCTGTTTACAAGAAACAAACATGGTCAAACTTATTCACAGAGCATCAATCTGATTAATAATGAAAGTAACTAAGTGGAGTAAGCTTTTTTACCCGCACTGTCTTGAGAGGTAGATCAACAACACAAACTTTAAAGCTCTGCATTTACTTCACAATGAGGGATAGATGTGTTTTGCAGAAATCTACATCCTCTATGATTAATTCAGGGTCGTCTATAAAAACTGGCTGCAGGCAACAGATGAACACATACATGTGAGATTGGAAAAAGATACTAATCAGAAGTTTCTGTATTAGCCTAACGAACCTCCCAGATCCTTGGACTGGAAGATAAGTGAACAGGACTACGAAGAAGGTAATGATGGTCAAGTGTTCCACCGTCTTTGGAAGCATCTGTGAACAAATAAAGGAAGCCCTGATGATGCTCGATTATGCAGTGTGCTGGAGCGTTGTGTTCCCAAACCAACGCCAAACCAGAAAACGGGTCAGCTGCATTTATCAGAAAGACCTAAGAGACATAGTACTTCTTGTTACGATTACAACAGCAAAAAAATAAAAGCTTGTTCACAAATCAATTTTAGTGCTTTCACCTTGGAGAATGTAGGAGAGAATGTATTCACAGTCACAAAGTGGAAATCTTTTGTATGTCTTATGTTAACATGAACATTGCCTTCAGTTTCTTCATGAAGCAAAACATCCTCATCTGTTGACCCTATCATGCTACAGTAAATTCTGAATGGCCGTTTTTTCTGATCAGTGACAACATACAGCAAAGCCTGCCCGTTCTTTGCCCATGCTAAGTTGGAGACACGGTCTGCGTGAGGCTTACTACACAAAGCACCAGAATTCAAGTTTCTCACACACAACTTAAAGTAGTCGTTGTCCTTATCATACATAGTGTATGCAAGAAACTTATGGTCAGGTGATATCTCAGACATTTCTTCGTAAGCATAACCTACAAAAACCAAACACAAAAAAAACTGTTGATTCCTTACAACTAAGAGAGCCTCTAACTGTTCTAGTTACCTCCAAATCTTTGAGCTTCGTGATTGTAGTCAAGCAGCTTCNGACATTTCTTCGTAAGCATAACCTACAAAAACCAAACACAAAAAAAACTGTTGATTCCTTACAACTAAGAGAGCCTCTAACTGTTCTAGTTACCTCCAAATCTTTGAGCTTCGTGATTGTAGTCAAGCAGCTTCTGCTCAATCCTCTTCCCAGAAGTGAAATCAAACCCTGCAGCAGGAGACTTATGAGAAATGAACTCCTCGTGCAAGCTTGCTAGCCTCCTACACAGTACTGGATACTGCTTCCCTTCTTCAACCCTTCTATAATACAACCTGTTAAAGCCAAATAAAGAAGGAAACATTTCAAACTAATTTACACAAAAAGATCAAATCTTTTAATCCCAATATGCTCTTGAAATCAATTGAATACAAACTGTTTCCACCAAATATAATGTCTAATTGCCAAATAAAGGACGAACATTTCAAACTAAATTAAACAAAAAGATTCAAGCTTTTCACCACCCTTTAATCACAAGATTCAAACTAATTGAATACAAACCGTTTCCACCAAATAAAATATCTAATTGCCAAATAAAGGACGAACATTTCAAACTAATTTACACAAAAAGATTGAAACTTTTTCACCACCCTTTAATCTCAATACTCTTGAAAAAGGACAACAAAGTCATTTTACTTTAAAAAAAAACATCACTCACCAAGGTCCCCAACGAAGAGGAGGCGTAGAGAGCTCAAAAGACAAGCGAGAAGCCATCTCAGACTGAAGCTTGCTCTGTATCCGATCCGTATCTGCCAACACAGCTTCGGTATACTTCTCCTCTTGCTCCATGTAGATATCCATGTGCCGCATCGCCACTTTGTCTTCGAGCTTAGACATCCAGCTGTAAGGATCCTCCCACGTCGCGTCGTGGAAGGTGAAGCTCTGTGGCTTTTTTGGAGGCTTTGGTAACGTTGGTGGTGGTGGAGGAGGTGGAGGAGACTTCGGAGGCTTGTAACGGCGGCATTGTTGTCGGAAATGATGGTTGTAACGGAAGGTTCGGGAGAGATGTGAGAGCATTGTTGTGAAGTTGTTTGGGGTTTAGAAGAGGGGTTTTGTGTCTTAACGTTGTGAACCTTCCCGTTCGGAAAAAGGTTTCCTTCCAACATATATAACGTTTGGGCTTATTATCATCTAATGGTTGATTGGCCTCATTATTCATGAATAATTGATTGTGCTAACTAGGTGTTTATTCAAATATTCTGGTCGAGGAGATTTATATAAATTAGGGTTGGGCTCATTACCCAATCCGGGTTCGAGAAGAGGTGAGGACATTTTTCTAATATTCTGGATTTTTGTTATCTGTTTCGGTTTAAACGAATATCGAAGATCGGGCTTTAGGTAATAACTGAAACCGAACTGATATTCACAGATATTAGAAGCAGAGATCCATCGATCCGAAACGAACCTAACCGATCCATTTTGAGTTGGATATGGTTTGGGTATATGGTCCGGTTAAAAGTCTTAGCCCTAATTAGTTTTATTGTTATGTAATGATTTGGTTTATTGTCATGTAAGGACTGAGCTTATGTTTAGGTTTATATATAGTTTAGTGTTGAGTTTATAGGTCTTGCTGGGCCTTTGATATGTAATTGGATGACAAAAAATAAAGTCAACATCAATTGATTTTATTCATTGATCTTGTACAAAAGTGTACCCAAAAAAAACAGAAATTAGGAGGCTGTACACATAAATAGGGAGAGGAAGCAAAACTTGTAACTTACACAAAAGTTTACCCTTTGATTTTCTCTTAAATAAAAAAGTTACAATCATTACCCTTTGTCAGACTGAAAAGTATCACTTGATTAGATCCTCTAGTCTATTCATAGATCTTCTTGAGCCTTAAACCCACTGCTTCTTAGATTTTCTTGAATATTAATCACTCTTTGTTCAATAATAGCCAATAATGGCTGAAGCTGGTGAGAAGGTTTCTTCTCCATCTTCTTCTTATGCGCGTAAAGACTTGGAATTTTTCAAGGTTTTTCTTCCCGAGTTCAGTTCACGCGAACTGGTATGTTTCTATGTTATCTCTATCTCTTATCTGAGAGTTTAGATATTAATATAATATTAAATGGCAGGTGATACCTCAAGCATTCATAAACATCTTAGAAAAGCCATTACCTAGCAAAGTGGTACTAGTAGATGAGATCGGACGGTTATGGAATGTGGAGACAAAGACTGAAGAAGAAGACATAGAAGAAAGAGTTGTTTTAAAAAAAAATTGGGAAAAATTCGCAAACGATCACTCTCTTGAGTTTGGAAACTTTCTAGTGTTTAGCTACGACGGCGTTTCAAGATTTTCCGTTAAGATATTCGATAAAAACGGATGTAAAAAAGATCTCGTTGCCGACACAACATCTAGGGTTGCAGTTGAGAAAGAACCGGTTCTTGTTAAACCGGTTGATGATCTTTCTAACAAACCTCGTGGCAAGAGTAGGAAACGGGTTTCGGTTAAGGAAGAGCCTAGTGGTAACTTAGTTAGAGGTACGTATATTTGATTGGTTTAATATACTTTGCTTATAGTGTGATTTGAATTATATATTGTTGGGTGTTATGTTATGTAGATCCTTGTGAGATGGGATTGGTTCATGAGAAGAAGAAACACAAAGGATTTGAAGAACCGGTTTATAAACCGAATAATCCGCATTTTGTGAGGAATATTACAAACGGTTCACGTCGCCAGATGGTGAGTTAAACGAACCGTTTATTAGTGCTTAACATTATTAAACCAGTGTGAGTTTTGTATGTTTTGTTAGGACATACCGACAACTTTTCTGAAATCGAACGGGATCGAAATGGAGGAAGACATCGAGCTGTGTGATGAAAATGGAAAGAAGTGGCCAATGAAGATTGTGATTCACGATAGAGGACAAAGGTTCTCCCCTGGTTTGTGGTTGAGTTTCTGCCAAAGCCATAACTTGAGCACGTCTAATAAGTGTTTATTTGAGTTTGTCGTGAGAAGTAATGGGTCATGCAACCAGGTTCTAGTTCGGATTCTCCGTGGGAGAATGCTTACTACTGTTACCAGAAATAGCTACCAAGTTCTTGCTGTGTAGCCTTAACATTCAGCGGTATATACTCTTCTATTTTGTTATGTTTGGTTCTTTCATGAATCCCTTGTGTTACTGTTATTTCTTATTTGCATAAATTAGATACCAAACCAAAGCATAGGTAAGTTTTTTTTAGACCAGCTAAAAGGTTGGTATATAGAAATGGCTATAAGCTATAACACAATATCTTGGATACAAGATTAAGTTTACCATATTTAACTATATAACTATTACAAAACCAAAGCATATGTAAATTATTCAAAGCGGTTTTGATTGATGACATTACTAAACGATGGGATTGTGTTTTTGTAACGTAAAAAATATTGGGCATAAACAATGTGTCATTTTCTATTATTCAAAACATAGATTGATGAAGTTCACACGTTTAGGAAAGTGCTTTATATATCTACTATGAACATTAAAATATAGTTTAGAACATAGACCTTACAAATAGAATTTGTTTATAAGAATACCCGTTTTTCACATATAACATAAATTAGTGATTCAGTTAGTCATTATACAAGGACAAATAACGATTATAATTAAATATATATATTCAAGTCATTAAGAAATAAGAACGCACTAAACGCAGGGAGATTGAGTAAACTCAGTTCTAATGTCTAAAGCAGCTATGGCACGTAAAAGAGAGCACATAGTTTGTTGTGTCTATACCAATGAAAAAAGCCAAATCAGCCACTGGTTTCCAAATAAAACCAATGGAACTACGGCCCAAAGTATAATGTATTCGCCCACATTGTTTTTTCTTCTCAAAAGAGAAAAACAATATTTTATACATACAACTTACGATATGTGACTGCGAAGTTTCACCAATCCATTTGTTATATTATATGCATTCTATATATAAATAGACACACGAGTGTGTGTTGTTATATACTCAAACCATATCTTATTTCGTTCCATCAACAAAGATAATTTGCCCAGAGTTTTTTTGTTTTCCCTTATTTGTGTAATATGGAGTTTGTGGTTTTGAAACCTGAGGAAGTAGAAAAGAGTTTAAAAGAGGAGCAAGTGTCGAAGGAACTACATCTCAAATCGTCTGAAACGCACACGCTGAACAAAAGAGCCGTCCTCAACCGCATCCGCAACCACAAATGTATTCATAACCTCAAGAGTCTTCTTCACACAACTTCTCCTAATAGCGGTTCCACCCTCGACGCTGAGTACCGGTGGATTGATAGTGGCGATATCTTTTCTTGTCCGTGAAATAAATAGACAAGAGACTTTTAGCACGTGTATGTTCGTCTCTACATGTATCCAAACTATAATTCAAGTTGTCTTGGATAATATTTTGTAATGATCATATCATAAAGTTATGTTAACGATGAACTGATATAAAAAAAAAAAAAAAAACGATGAACTGATATGATCACCGTTGATCTCTAGCGATTCCATGAAGGAGATTGGTACTTATGCAATGATTAAATTAGGCCATTAGTGATTAGTCTTATTAAAGACAATCTTGAGAGTTAAGAGAATATTGATCATCACCAGAATGAAACCGGACAAGTACCCTTACACACACAAAACCACATGTGTTGGTCATCATCAAAAGAAACTACTAATCTCTCCATAGACGAGCTAGTGCTCTCACAAAACAGACGATGTGGTACTAGACATAGAAGACAAGTGCCTTCTTCGTTTGAAGTTAGCTTTAAAACAAGCCTGTCTCAACCTCTTGGTCTTATCTTCAAACTCCAAATCAGGAAACTCCTCAATCATTTTCTTCTCCGCCTCCAAAATCTCCAAAGCGTTCATCAGCTTACTCCTGTTCTTTTCTCCTTCCATATTCCCTAAGTGATCCTTTCATTAAAGACCATAACATATAAGTGTAACCGTAACATGTATAAACAAGTCCACTAATTGTACATATATTATATATGCATGTGTGTTTGATGAATGTACCTTGAGGTTATTAATAATGCCGTCAATGCTCGTAAGCTTACGGTGAGNTTCATCAGCTTACTCCTGTTCTTTTCTCCTTCCATATTCCCTAAGTGATCCTTTCATTAAAGACCATAACATATAAGTGTAACCGTAACATGTATAAACAAGTCCACTAATTGTACATATATTATATATGCATGTGTGTTTGATGAATGTACCTTGAGGTTATTAATAATGCCGTCAATGCTCGTAAGCTTACGGTGAGGCCAACGAGAAAAACCCAACTCACGACATCTCTTTTTCAAGAGAGTTAGTCCGACATTAAGCTCTTTAGCTGCTTTAGTTATTGGCATCTTGAAGTATGGTTTCATATCTTCCCTGGAAAAACTCTGGATTAGTTTATCTTCTCTATATTTCTTCTTCTGCCTTGTGGTCTCCTTCGTTGTGTTATTGCCATCATGCAATATTATCCCCATCTCTGGTTCGATATAATTATTGAAATTACTAGTATTTCCATTCCACAATTCACCCAAAACATCTGCTACACGACAAATGATTAGTATAATAATTCCCAAACATGCATATGTACGTATAAACATATATGAAGAAATATAGTATACCTTGGGACAAAGTAGAGATGGCTTCAGGGCCAACTGATGCCATAGACATATGATCACAAGCAGAGAAACAAGTAGAGATGGGATCAAGATTAGTGCTGTCTGGTAAAGAAAACCAACTTTCATTTTGAAAATCATTAAAAGGGTTAATGAACGAACTGCAAAAACACAAACAACCAAAAAGCACATATTAGATTTAACTTATAATGAAAACAAATCAATCTTTATTAATTTATGGTGTAACACCCTTATGACTTACTTGTAATCGAAGGAAAGTGATTGATCGAGGAATGAAAATAAGTTCTCTTCTTCAAGGAATGATTCATAGTCGTTGGACTCTGACCAGCTCCTCAGAAGTTTATGGTCATCCATTTGTAGAAACGTTTTTTAAGTGATGAATGAAAATGAATCGTGTGTATATATATTTATTTGGAATGTATAAACGTTTTAACTTATATGTATAGATAGATGGAGGAGTGGGAAGTGGTGTATTTACTTCTCGGAGATGGTGAGCCGTCATAAATCATGAGATGTTTTCTGTAAGTTACGAGAGACGTTTCTGTAGAAATTAATGATTATAGTTGATTATTTAGGATAATAGGGGAAAAGTATTTGGTTAATGCTAATTATATCTAGTAATAATAGGCCCCAAGTTGTAAACGTTCGAGAATTGATTATGCTTACGTTCCCCATCCCATCACATGCAACTCGAGTTCATGATATCTTGCTTGTTTGTCATCTTCAAAAACCTTTTGCTTTTTTTTTTTCAAAACTAATCATGAAAATCATTTCAGTATATATATTGGCGTGGGTATATAAATATACATGTATATAGTTTGTAGCTAAGTAAATTTTTGTTAGAGAAGCATATAAAGAGTAACGTTCTATATAAGATGTATATAATTTTTTTTTCTGAAGCAACCCCTGACTCTTGTGTTAAATAATTAATCCTCATTCATGCCAATGTTATTATGTCTGTGCCTTGGTCTCCAATCTTAGCAACATGGTTAAGATGGATGTTCTAGTTTGAACGTTGAAGGGACTTAGAGTAATTGGCGTTTTGGTTTTTGAATATTTCACTTTATTGGAAGTAAAAACTTCATTGTTCAACAAGGTCCTATCATTGGTAATTCCAAAGTAATATATATATATGGAAACAAAAATTTAGTTACTGAATCCCATAGAGCGTAATGGTAGCAGAAGATAGATAGACAGGGGCTTCAAGCATATTGT